AATCAATGTGATTGTTGCGTCCTCACAATCCTAAATCGTGCCAGGGGACTTCGACCATATGAGTAACTATGTGCTGCATGCCTGTGAGATGAATGTGCGCAGCGGGAAGGCGAGAGCCACCCTTCGAAAAGGAACCACCCTTTATCCGTGAAGCTGCTGCAAATTGTTACGACGAATGTGCGCGGCGCTATGGCGAGGAGGAGGAGGAGGAGGATCGAGAGGGGAGCCAACATTATAGCTCGCCGCTGTGCGCGCGCTTGTGCTATGTCGGCGGTGCGTGGCCGTGTCTGTGGGGCGTAGGGTTGGTGGAGGGCCTGGGAGGGCATCTCCTGTTCCTTCTCCTCTCTCTCTTCGTACCCTCCCTGCTTTCCCGCATCATACTCCAGCCTCTCCTGCTCTTGACATTGGCCCCACCCCTTTCTCCTGCGTTTCTTACCTGTACCCTTCTCATCCTCTCTGCTCCTCCTGGTCCATGCTTTTCGCCCTCCCTCCCCCCTCCTCCCCCCCTGGCGGAAAGTAGCACTTGAGCCTCATTCGTGCTGCAAGGGCTTTACGGCTGGCTCCGCCGACCCTTTAAGCGAACAGTTTTAACACAGAGAGGCAGAAGGGGGGCGTGGGCAATGGTCAGCGGTGGCTTTGATGCGAGAGCGGTAGTCTAATCGTCTTCGGTCCATCCAGCCATTGCGCCTGAGTCGTGTTTGGGAGGCTTTGGGAGTATTCTGGGGTCTATTCGGGGGCTTCTTGGGAGGCTCCTGGGGGCCTGTAGCCCACTTGGGTGAGTCTTGGGGACGCTTTGGGCCGCTTGTGGGCTGCCTGGGTGTCTTGGGATCATGGTGGAGGGGTTGGCTTCCAACGGTTTCGTGGGGCACCTCGTGAGGCCTTCTTGGGGCCTCCTGTGCCAGCTTAGGCCGGTCGTGCTGGCATCCTGGACCGTCGTGCTTACTCTTAAGACCGACGCAACGAGAATGTTGAGATCACGCAAACACCTGAGAGACTCGACCGATCTGGGCCTCTTGAATCGTTCCCCAGGGCCTCCAAGACGGCCGGCGAGACTCCCAATTGCGCCGAAGTCGTCCGAGGCTGGCGACGAGACAGCTCTAGCGGGCTCAGGTGGCCCACAGTGGCCATATTGGCACCAAGATCGCCCGAGTCACCCCAGGGAGTGGGGGCACCTGGGATCCCCCCGCACTGGCGGGAAGTGGATCGATGGAAGGTTTTTCCTTCGACTCGATTGCAGCCAAAGCCATTATCCTCAGGCATTTGAGCTTGGAGCGCCCCGGTGGCCCCAGCGAAAGAGGGTAAGGACCCCGTCTGGAAAAGAGTCTCCCTGGACCACCTCAGGACAACCACCCCAGAGCTCTCTCTGACTCACGCCGGCGGGGTCGGCGTGTTTCATGTATTCCAGGCTACTCGGTTTTACTAAGTTTTTTTTTAGATTTTCCGCGTTCATGATTGACGTTTGTGTCAATTCTGGTAGCGATTTGTGTTCCGTTGTGTTGACTTTCGAGCCGCAGTTTCCCTTCATGTGGTGAGTTGCGTAATGCAGTTGTTTTCGGGAGCAGTTCTCTTTCCGCTTTCAGGTATGATCCCGGCCTGCGTCGTGCCGCGCCGGTGTGTGAATTGTGTGTTCCGTACCGTTTTCGACATGTGTCCCATACGTTTTCAGCTACCCACAGCCGCCGATCGTATTTGAGCTGTGTCGATTTTGGTTTCCTCCTAGTGTTGGCACTCCGTGTTCTGTCCGTTGTTTCGCGCGCGAATATGGTATTCCCCGTTTTGGGCTTCCGTTTTTCTTTCCATGCCGGTCGGCCGCAACCAGTGAAAAGTTGAATATTGGTACACACACAAACAAACAAAGAAACAACACAAGTGTTTTAAACCAGCCAAGTCCGTACTCCCTCCCCGCCCAGCTCCTCTCTCGTGTTTACGTCCTCCCGTTCCCTTTTCAATTTTGCTTCATATTGTGCCATGTATCTGCCGCTCCTCGTCCTCAGGTGTCGCTCTGAATGGTCAGCGCACGTTGGCAGTGCTTGAGGGTTAGTTGCGCTGGACTGACAAATCTCACCCTTCCCACCATCCAGAGGACCCCCTGAAGAACCCCACTGGCGGCGCCGACAATAACACATTATCTTGGCGAAGGACCCAACCGTATGCAGTTGTGGGCACCGCAATTGTGAATATCTTCTGCGGTGAAGCTCCCTGTGAGGCTACGAAGCACTGCACTGGGTGGGGGGGAACGCATGCGGGCGGTAGCACTGGGGCCGTCGGTGGAGCTCCCTATGAGGCCACGAAGCGCTGTACTGGATGCGGGGACGCATGCGGGCGGTAGCACCGGGGCCTTCGGTGGAGCTCCCTATGGGGCCACGAAGCGCTGTACTGGGTGGGGGTGGGGGCGTATGCGGGCGGTGGCACTGGAGCCGTGGGTGGAGCTCCCTGCGGGGCCACGAAACGTTGTACTGGGTGTGGGGTACGCATGCGGGCGCCACGGAGTGCTGTACTGGGCCAGCGAAAATGCCACATTGGGTGTGTGGGGCGCATGTTGGCGGTCCCAGTGTGGGCTTCGGTGGAGTATGGGGCCACGAAACGCTGCACTGAGTGGGTGAATATGCCACATTCTGGGTTTTCGGGACGCATGCGGGCGGGTGGAAATGTTAAATTTGGTGTGCGACGCATGCGGGCGGTCCCACTGGTGGCTTCGGTGGAGCTCCCTATGGGGCCACGAAGCGCAGTATTGGGTGGGTGAACATGCCAAATTGGGTGTGTGACGCATGCGGGCGGTCCCACTGGGGGCTTCGGTGGAGCTCCCAGTGGGGCCACGAAGCGCTCTACTGGGTAGGTGAAAATGCCAAACTGGGTGTGTGGGATGCATGCGGGCGGTCCCACTGGGGGCTTCAGTGGAGCTCCCCATGGGGCCACGAAGCGCTGTACTGGGTGGGCAAACATGCCACATTGGGCTTTCGGGACGCATGATGGCGGTGGCACTGGGGCCTTCGGTGGAGCTTCCTATGGGGGCACGAAGCGCTGCATTGGGTGGGTGAACATGCCACATTGGGTTTTCGGGACGCATGCGGACGGTGGTACTGGGGCCTTCGGTGGAGCTCCCTATGGGGCCACGAAGCGTTGTATTGGGTAGGTGGGACGCAGGGAAGAGGGAGGAGGGGGAGGAGGGGAAGGAAGGAAGGAGGGAGGAACGCGGGAACCGTCTCTTCAAAACGAGGGCCCAACAACACAGGATGGTTGGGAAAAAACACATCACACAGACCATCTACAGACGCCGCCGACAAATTGGGTTTTTGAGAGGTCCCTTGGACCTCTTGGGGCCTCCTGCGCATGGGAGTATCTGGGAGCGTCTGAGCCACGTCTCGGGAGATGCACATGGGAGTCCTTCTGGGTGCCCGTTGGGGCCCCGTCGGGGGCATCTGGGGGCCTGTCTGGCGGTATCTTGGAGCATCTTAGCCGCGTCTCGGGGGGCGCAGTTTGGAGTCCTTCTGGGTTCACATTGGGGCCCCGTCGGGGGCATCTTGGGGCTATTTGGTAGCATCTCGATGGAATGGACATGTTTCGAGAGAGTGGCAGGCAAATCGCTCAGAGCATGTCCAGCGCTATTCAGATGCGGGTTCTCGGAAGACGTTTTCGGGGCTTCTCGGAGGTCGGGTACTTCTCGCGGGGACCTTTTTCAGCTCCAGAGGTTCGGCAAACCTCTCATGTGGATCTGGCAGAGATCCGCGGGCATGCCAGCATAGTATTTGTAAGATGCTGGTTGTCTGTAGTCTGTCTTTGCGGGGCTCGTATTTCTGAGCATCTCTATGTTTGTTCTTGCCGGCATGTCTCCACCAAAAAAACGTATGGTGAGGCACCGCCCCTGCGAGCCGTTCTTCGCAAAATCCCTCAGCATTTGATACCGACGCCCCAGCCGCAATCCAGCCAAGACGCTGAGATAAGGACCACTCTGAGTTCAGAAAGGACTCGCTGTTCCTTAAGCTCTTCCATGGCTGCTCCCCTAACACTCCTCATGCGCCTAGGCGCTGATGGGGCCAAAGAGGGGCCTCGCTCCTCATTTAGCGCTCCTTCTGGTAGTATCTGGACTGTTTCGCAGCCGGCACAGCTGTGAGGCGGAACTGGAGGCCCGAGCTTGCCCAGACGTGCGACGCCGTGCTCGTTTGATTCCTTGCGCGTCTTCCAAGAGTTCAGCCTCTGGCGGCCGATTTCGCCAGACCCTGGGGGACAAACAAAAGACGGCCCACGAAGAATTGGTTTCAGAGAAGGGGGGCGAGAATCCTAGGGGTCGGCGGCCCTAAAAGACCGAGCCCGTCGGAGGCCTGAGTCATGGGCGGGACCCTGTGGGTTGCAAGTGGGAAGCCCAACGCACAGGTGAGCGACCTGGCAAGTTATCCGATTCGATGTCGATGCCCGCTTTCTCGACCGGATCCGATTCCGATGTCCAGCGATCCGAAGCAGCCCGATGCCCGCACAGCGTTGTTGTGCGACCTGGCGCGGCAGATCCGATTTGATCCTGCCTCCATGCCGATGCGACCCGATGCGACGTACGTTCCGATCCGATTCGGCTTCCCGACTCGATGCTGGGCGGCCCTGCCTCAGAAGGGCGGCGACCGACAGGTCCAGCACACGGGGCAGGCTGAGGGCGGGGCCGCGCGAGCGGAGGCCGGAAATATCGGGCAGGCAGGGCAGCCCAGGGGGCAGGACCCGCTGGGCAGGGCCAGCACTTGGAGGGAAGGGGAGAAGAGAAAGTTCGTGGCGGAAGCGGAGGGAGGGGGAGGAGAGAGGGTCAAAGGGAGGACGCCAAGGAGGAGAGAGAGGAGGAGACCAAGGGGCCCAGGAGGAGGAGGAGAAGGAGGAGAAGAAGGAGGTGACCCCGGTCGACGGCGCAGTGCCCCGCTGTCGCGTTGCGCCGAGCTTGCTCGAGACTCCGGCATCGGATCGAGCCTTCCACACCCCGCGCGCCAGCGATGGCGATGGCCCTCGCTTGCCTCGACGGTTGCATGCCTGCGAGCAAGGCTGGCCCGGGGCTGGGACGTGAGGGAGCACATTCCACATTTTCCCAATGTGAATGAAATAGGTTGGATGGAGTCCGGTCTACCCCACGCCCCCTGGGAGGTCCTCCATCAGCCGCGTTTCGCAAAGAAGTCTTCACGAATCGGAGCGACAGGCTATCCGCTTGCAGGGCATAGCGTGTCGCCGAAGCCGCCGCGGTGACACGCCAAGCAGAAGTGCCTGACCGTATATGTGCATGCCTGTTGGGCCTCTGCACGGTTGCATTTGCGTATGCCCATGTGTGTGTTGTTGTCCGAGTGCTCCATCGCGTGCCCACCTCAAGTGTTAATGATGACGATGATGACGATGGCGATAACGCCTACGATTATGAGTGTTATGATGATGATGATGGTGATGTCGGTAAGATTGATGGTGATTGTGTTTGTGATTGTGATGATATCAATGATCTTGTTCGTGATGGTGTTGGTGATGGTGCTTGAGATGGTGATGATGATGCCGATCACGACGACGACCACGACGACAACCTCGACGACGACGAGCATGATGACAATGACGACAACTACAACGACGATGACGACGATGATGATGCTGATGGTGGTGATGGTGGTAAAGATGGTGATGGTGATTCAGATGGTGATGATGCTGACGACGACGAGGACGATGACGACGATGATGAGGACGCTGATGTTGACGATGTCGATGCTGATGGTGATGGTGATGGCAATGGTGATGATGATGCTGGTGCTGATTATGATGCTGATGATGTTGATGATGATGATGGTGATGATGATGATGGTGATGATGATGATGCTGATGATGATGGTGATGGTGATTGAGATGGTGATTGATGTTGTGTGGGTGCTGCTGACGACATGAAAGACAACGATGTCCATGTCGTCCACGACGTCAACCACGACGATGACGACGAGGACGATAACGATGATGATGAGTATCGTGATGGTAATGGTGATGGCAATGGTGATGATGATGCTGATGATGATGGCAATGATGATGATGATGCTGATGATATGGTGGTAATGGTGATGGTGATTGAGATGGTGATGATGCTGGGGCCGACGACGACGACCACGACGACCACGACGTCCACGACGTCCACGACGTCGACGACGACGACGACGAGGACCATGACGACGATGATGAGGATGCTAATGTTGACGGTGACGGCGATGATGGTGATGGTGATGATGATGGCAATGGTGATTTTGATGATGGTGCTGATTATGACGCTGATGCTGATGCTGATGAGGTTGCTGACGGTGACGATGATGATGGTGATGCTTATGCTCGTTCTGAGTACGATGCTGATGATGATGGTGCTGGTGATTGAGATGGTGACTGATATTGTGATGGTGCTGATGACGACGACGACGAAAACCACGCTGCCCTCGACGTCCACAATGCCGACCATGACGACGACGAGGACGATGACGATGACGGCGATGACGAGGATGCTGATGCTGACGATGACGATGATGGTGATGGTAATGCCAATGGCGATGCTGATGCTAGTGCTGATTATGATGCTGATGCTGATGATGATCATGCTGATGATGGCGCTGGTGATGCTGATAATGACGATGCTGGTGATGATGATGATCATGATGATGATGATGATGGTGGTGGTGGTGGTGCTGATGGTGATTGGGATGGTGATGATGCTGATGGTGACGACGATGACGCCAACGGCGACGATCACGACGTCCGCTACTTTGACCAAACCGGCGATGACGAGGACGATCACGACTATGATGAGGATGCTGATGCTGACGATGCCGATGGTCATGATGCTGATGCTAGTTCTGAGTATGGTGCTGATGATGATGATGGTGATGATGACGATGATGGTAATGATGGTAATGATGAGGGTGATGATGCGAATGATGCTGATTATGATGCTGGTGATGGGGATTGTGATAGAGATGGTGCTGATGCTGATGACGACGACAACGTCCACGACGTCGACCGCGACGACGACGATTCCAAGGACGGTGACGACGATGATGAAGATGCTGATGTTGACGATGACGACGATGATGGTGATGGTGATGGTGGTGGCAGTAGTGATGCTGATGCTGGTGCTGATTATGATGCTGGTGCTGATGATGCCGATGGTTTGATGATACTGATGGTGATGATTATGGTGGTGATGATGATGATGATCATGGTGATGGTGATGGTGATGGTGGTTGAGATGGTGATGATGCTGATGACGACGGCGCCGACGGCGACGACGACGACGACCACGACCTCCACGACGTCCTTTACGTCAACCACGATGACAATGACCACGATGCTGCGGATGCTGATGTTGACGATGACGACGATGATGGTGATGGTGATGGTGATGGCATGGTGCTGATTATGATGCTGATGATGCTGGTGCTGATGATGACGATAATGATGATGGTGGTGGTTCCTGTGATGGTGATTGAGATGGTGATGATAATGACGACGCCGACGACGACGACGGCGACGACGATCAGAACGTCTACGACATCCATGACGTCGACCACGACGACAACGACAAAGACGAGGACGATGACGGTGACGAGGATGCTGACGATGATGACGATGACGACGACGGCATTGACGATGACGACGATGAGGGTAATGGTGATTGAGATGCTGATGCTGATGCTGAGGCTGATTATGATGCTGCCGATGATGACGAGGATGACGATGCTGATGATGATGATGATGCTCATGATGCTCATGATTATGATGATGACGACGACTGTGATGGTGATGGTGATGGTGATGAGGCTAATATTGACGACGACGATCACGACGTTCACGACGTCGACCACGACGGTGACGACGAGGACGACGACGATGATGACGATGCTGATGTCGTCTGCGAGGGTGGTGGTGCTGATGCTGATGCTGATGCTGATGCTGATTATGATGCTGCTGATGATGATGGTGTGGATGATGATAATGACGATAATGACGATGACGGTGGTGGTGATGATGATCATGATGATGATAATGATGATGACGACGATGATGCTAATGATGATGACGATGATGATGATGATGACGATGATGATGATGATGATGATGACGATGATGATGATGATGATGATGATGATGATGATGGTGATGATAGGGGTGATCTTCCAGAGGGCTCGTCCAAGCTCAGGCGGCACTCTCGCACACCGCTCGGGCGGCGCTCCCCTGCTCCTGCCCTTCCGCTTCCGCCAGCCGCAGCTGCCAGCGGCGACGACCTCTCCTGCCGTAGCGCTCCCCGCTGCGGCACGCATTACTGCCGCGACACGACAGCCGAGCATCTGATTGAGACACCTTCCCCCTAAAAGCTGGGCCAGCGTTTTTTTTTATTGTTACCAACTTGCCAGAAAGCCGGTCCAGTTTCTTGAGCACGTCCGCGCCTCCAGCGTTAGCAACAGAAAATAGCTCAGGTTCTTTCAAGAATCGTCCAGGAAGCTAGCTCCGATTTCTTGTATGATAATGTTGTTGGTTCTGTGTTGGGTTGTAGCGCAGCGTCCCGATGCCACAACGCTTGTGCTGCCAAGCCGCCGCAGTCCGACGGGGGCGCCGAGGCGGCAGAGGGATCCTAAAAAGCGCTGGCCGCTGCCACCCCCGCCGCCGCCCCGCGGCCGCTGCCCCGCCGCCGTCTCCGGCTCCGGCTTGGTAAGGCTCCAGACGCCAAAGGCCTACGAGCAGAAATGTTGAAGGACGGCACGGAAGAATTGCACGGCGCACTTCTCCACCTCTACAACGCGATCATCCAGTCCGACGCTCCGCCGCCGACCAGCTGGAAGAGCACTGTCGTCACGGTCATTCCCAAGAGTGGGGATCTAACGCTTCCGCAAAACTATCGGCCCATATGCACAATACCATTGCTTTACAAGCTTTTCAGCAGACTTCTCTACAACCGACTCCAACCAACACTTGACTCCCGACAAACTGCAGACCAGGCCGGCTTCAGGCCAGGACACTCAACCACCGACCACTTATTCGCTTTCCATATTCTCCGTGAGCGCGCGCACGAATGGAACCAGAACTTGTGGGTAGCGGCGCTAGACTTCAAAAAAGCTTTTGACACCGTCGAGCACAATAGCATGTGGGCAGCGCTGGAGGCGCAGGGCGTCCAACGAGGATACATCTCACTACTCCAACAGCTGTACGAGGGGCAGACGGCCACGGTCAGGACTGACGTCAGCAGCAAGTCCTTCAGTCTCCTTCGGGGAACGAAGCAGGGCGACCCGCTCAGTTCCTTGCTTTTCAACGCTTTGCTACAGCACAGTCTTGCACCACTAATCACCGACTGGCAAAAGAAGGGCAAGGGAGTGCAGCTAGGATTCACCACCACCTCCACGCTCACTAACCTCCGCTTCGCCGACGACGTGCTCCTTACTAGCCAAACTCTACCGCGCCTCACCGCGATGCTCGACGACATCGTGCGCGCAGTGCGACCTCACGGACTTGAGTTGCACCCTTCCAAAACCAAAATACTCAGCAACCAGACCAGACGGACTGGCAGGGCAAGCTCGCGCACAGTACACATTCAGGGCATGGACATCGACATCCTTCCCCACGATGGCAGCATCAAGTACTTAGGTCAGCTCATCAGCTTTCACGACGCGATGGAGACTGAAATCCACCACCGTACGAGGGCAGCATGGGCAACGTTCACTTCGCACAAACAGGAGCTGACAAGCAAACACTACCCACTGGCACACCGACTTCGACTTTTCAGCCGGACCGTAACACCCGCAGCACTCTACGGAGCAGAGACATGGACGCTCACGGAACCTCTTCGGCAACACCTGCGGCGAACACAACGACGCATGCTCCGCATGATCATCAGGACACCAAGGCGACGCGCTACCCGCCAAACGACCCCGACGAGTAGCACCCAAGAACACGCGGACGACCGCACGACCACTCAAGCACCTGACCAAGAAACCAGCAGCAGCGACGACGCAGAGAGCAACGCGCCCCAACAAGACACGACCGACCGACACAGCGAGAGCAACGACAACAACAATGACGAGGACGCGATGGAGCCGTGGGTCGACTACATCCAGCGAGCCACGCGGCGCGCAGAACAGCTCATGCAGCACCACCACATCGAAAACTGGGAGACGATTCACAGACAGAGGTCGTGGCGCATGGCATCCAAGGTAGCCAAACACGAGCCCACCAGATGGACGTGGCGTGCACTGCACTGGCAACCAGGAGAGAACTCACGGCAACGTGGCCGGAGACACCACGGCGGCCAGCGCAAGCGCTGGGACGACGACCTCATCAGCTTCCTTCAAGAACACCGACCCGACCTGCACCCAGCGCCCACGCCAACCAACGAGCAGGGCAAGCCGAACGACCTCACTTGGGTTCGCTCAGCTCAAGACACCACCACGTGGTCGACACTCGAACACAAATACATCAGCACGTCGCCGACATTCACAACCAGGACTTCCTCCTCCTCTCCTCCTCCGTCATAACTTTTTGTGTGTTGCACCGAATCATGTATTGTGTGCCTCGCAGTTCCTGTGCATGTCTCTATGTTTACAGGAGGCCATGGCCTCACCCACCTGGTCTGAGCAGGCCCGGACAGCTGTCCGATGTGGTGGTTCCTTCGTTCGTTCCGCCGCCGTCTCCCTCTGCCCTGAGCCCAGAGCCGAGTGCACAGCAGCGCGCGCTCACGTTGGATCTTGATGGCCGTGTTTTCCACCACCACCACCACAAGATGGAGGGGGGGAGGAGGAGGAGGAGAAGGACGAGGAGGAGGAGGAGGAGGAGAAGGAGGAGGAGGAGGAGGTGGCGCTCACGTTGGATCTGGCGCCGACGCGATGCCCACGATGCCAGCAGGCCGCGATCCGCAGCTGCAGTCGCACGTTGCTCTGTGAGCGTGCACCGTGCCGCAGCGTCCTCCCGCGGTGCCCTTTCCCCGTGCCGGGAGCCGTGGCCGAGAGGCTGCCCCCCACGCGCTCCCGAGTGGTCCAGCGGGTTGGGTATTCTGCCGTCCTTCCAGGGAACTCCCCGTTCGCTTGCTTCCCCCTCTTCTCTCTGGGTCTGCTGGGCTCCGTCTCTCCATGTCAGTGCCTCTTTTTTTTCTTTCTCTCTCTCTCTCTCTGTCTCTCTCTCTCTCTCGTTTTCTCTGTCTCTCTCTCTCTCTCTCTCTCACTTTCTTTGTATGTTTTTCTTTCTTTTTTTGTTCTCTCTCTCTCTCTGTCCATCTTCCCGCGCGAGCCCGAGGCGTGTGAACCAGGCTAGATGCCCAGACGTGCTCGCTGTTGTGAGGAGCACGACGGGTGGTTTCTGACGGGCCTCGCCGGGCCCAGGACCGTCAGAGAACGACCCCGGATGAAGGGCGGCCCTGTGGGGGAGGCGTCGGGATTTTTGGGGACTGCAGAAAGCAAACATCTCGCTGCGAACGGGGGCCCATGCCAGGTTACGGTAGGTTTCAGTCGGGCCTGTCCCTCTACAGGGGGGGATATTCAGAAGTAGGCAAAACATAGTCTGGGGATGTTTTTTTCCGGCAAAAAAGAAAAACCTAATTTAACCTTTGGGGGGGATCTTTTGACTATTTGTTATTTTTCGCCCAAAATCCGCCTGTAGGGGGACACGCCCGACCTAAGACTAAAGAAATTAAACATCTCGCTGCGAACGGGGGCCCATGCCTGGTTACGGTAAGTCGGGCCTGTCCCTCTACAAGAGGAAAATTCAAAAATAGTCCAACAAATAGTCCAGGGAATATTTTGTTTTTTTCGTTCAAAACTATGTTGAGGTATGTTTGGGATATGTTTATTTTTTCGCCCAAAATCTGCCTGTAGGGGACAGGCCCGACCTAACGGTAGGTTCATGTCGTGTCGACCAGCGGCGACCTTGCCAGCGGTGTTCAACTTTGAACACCGCGGGCGACCCAGAATCGTTCGATGTGGAATTATTTGGACGTTTCGGGAACGGCCGATCGTGCAAGGTTGAACGATCCCCGCGGTGTCAGAAACCAACGCCGAAGTTGGCACGACACGAACTTGACGTACGCCGGCGCTGCGAACGAATCCTGCCCGGCAAGGGCGCGGGACGGATGGCCCAGGGATTTTCCTTCCATCCGTCGGGAGGAAGAGGAGGCGCAGTAGCGGCGAGGAGGACAGGATCCGGCGGGCGAGGAGGAGGGGGAGGAGGAGAAGGAGCAGGAGGAAGAGGAGGAGGAGGAGGAGGAGGAGGAGGAGGAGGAGGAGGAGGAGGAGGAGGAGGGGGAGGAGGAGGAGGAGGAGGAGGAGGAGGAGGAGGAGAGGGAGGGAGGAGGAGGGAGGGGAGGGGGAGGAGGGGAGGAGGGAGGGAGGAGGAGGAGGAGGAGGAGGGGGAGGAGGAGGAGGAGGAGGGGGAGGAGGAGGATGCTGGAGGAGGAGGATGCTGGAGGAGGGGAGAAGGGGCAGGAAGAGGGATGAGAAGGAGGTGGAGGAGAAAAAAGGAGGAAGAAAAGGTGGAGGAAGGACAGGAGGAGGAGCAGGACCAGTGTAAGCTCCAGACGCATCAGTGATGTTGCAAGAAACTCTCCCTCCAAGGTCCCTTGTCACACGTCCCGAGAAGAATCCATTTACAATGTGGGACGTGTCTCATTGGAAGGCAAAAGTTGGAGAAGCCGTAATCGTGCCGAAAACAATCCCTGCATCCTCAACGTTGGGAATCAACGTGACTCTTGCGGCAAGCCGACAACCCCAAATCGTGTCAAAACACCGTTTCTGGGACTTCAGTACCGCGAGTCCATGTGACTGTTGCGTCCTGGCAACCTTAAATCGAGCCAGACAGAACGCACTTCTGGAGACTTCAACCGCACGAATCCCTGCGACCGTTGCAAACTATACAGACGAGTGTGCGCGGCGCGAAGGCGAGAGCCACATTTTGAAAAGGAGCCCGCCCTCCATGTTTGAACTTTGTGTAGTAAACTTTTAAGACGAGCTTACGCGACGCTCATGCGAGAGGAACATTTTGAAAACGGCCCGCCGTCTACCCTTTGAAGCTGCTGCGAACTGTTCGAACACACGTGCCCTGCGCTAAGGCGGGAGCCAGATTTCGAAAACGACCCGCCCTCCATCTTCGAAGCTGCTGTAAACGTTAGGACGAATTTGCGCGGCACTAACGCGAGAGCCACATGTTGCAACCTGCCTCCCTGCCCTCCGAGCTCGAAACTGTACCACATGTCAATCCCAAGGATCATAAGTAGGAGGAGGTCTCAGGCGAAACGCCCGGCCCGCCCTACCGAAACGTCTGGGGATGCGACAAGCAGAAGTTATTTCTAAGGAAAAGAGATGGAAGAGGGAGGAAGAGGAGAGAGGGAGGATGATGAGGGAGAGGAGCGAAGAGGAGGACGAGGAGAGAGGGAGGAGGAAGGAGGCGGAGGAGGACGGAGGAAAAGGATGAAGATGAGGAGCAACGTCGACGGTGTCGTCGTAGTCGTCACCCACGGCGGCGAGTGCGACAACGCGATGACCACCACAACGAAGACGCGACAAACTACCACGGCCACAGACGCCGACAAACTACGACAACGCGATGACCACCACAGCCACAGACGACGACAACGACGCGACGAACGGCGACGGCGACGGCGACGGCGACGACGACGACGACGACGACGCGACGAGCGGCGACGACGACGACGACGACGACGACGACGACGACGGCGACGAACTTCGAATGACGAGCGACGAACGACGGCGACGACGACAAAGACTGTGAGCGTCGACGGCGGGAACGGCGGCTCCGCCCGCGAGGCGTTCTGGGCGCGGCCCGCCCGCGCCGCGGGCCTGCAGGGCGCCGCGGACCTGCGAGGCGAGCCGGGCGAAGGCGCGCGCGCGCGCCGGGCACGCCCGGCCCGCGGCCAGCCGGCAGCTGTCGAGCGGCGGCCGCTGCTCTTCCGAGGCCGGGGGTGTCCATCGCCGCCGCCTGGGGGGGCGATCTTCGGGGGCCTCGGCAAGCGGTGGATCTGGGCCCGGACAGGGTCGCGTCGCGAAGAAGTCAGGACGGGAGGTTTTTGGCCGTTTTCGGCCTCGGGGGGCCCTCGCCGGGCCCCGGGGCCGTCAAGAAACGATTCAGGACGAAAAATTGGTCCAGGGGACGTGGTCGGGACTTCCAGGGACCCCGCACTGAACAAAATTCAGGACGCCGCATGTTTGGGGTATAGCTGCCCCCCCATCAAGCAGTGGCGAAGCGTCCTGGCGTGCCTAGAAGCCAACCGAACAATGTTCCAAGAACTTTTTGTGGTTTCAACGAAATGTTCATAGAACTTTTCTGGCTGGGACTGTCTTGTTTTATCACATCGGGTTTATGTTCTAAGAACCTGGTTCTTGTTCTTACAGTTTCTCTGAAGAAAGTTTCGTGGTAGGCCTAGAGGATTGCCGGGACGATCGGTCCCTGCTCAACCCCAGGGCCTGAAGATGTCGGGGCCTCCGAAGATCGATCCCCCGGGCGGTGGTGATGGGCAGATCCCTACCTTTCGTAGCTCTGTCGCGGCCAGGCGCGCAAACCGGCCGCGGCCCGCGCGCCTGGCCGCGGCTGGGCGCACGCGTGGTGGCCTCGTCGCCGCCGCCGTCGCCGTCGCCGCCGCCGCGGCCGGCGTCGTCGTCGTCGTCGTCGTCGGTCTCGCCGTTGTCGTCTTCGTCGTCGTCGTCATCTATAACTGTGCTGCGTCTGCCTGGTCTCTCCTCTCGGGGGCGTGGCCTGTCGCGGGCTCGCTGCGGGGTGCTCCCCCCGCAGTGGTGCAGGAAGGGTCCAATTCGATAGCCCGCGCCGAGCGCGATCCTCCGATCCCATCTGTTCCGACCCCACCTGGAAGCCCTAGACACACTGATCTTTCCGCCCGACCACTTCCGCCCCGGGCCGCGCACGAAGCAGCCTGCAGCACCCCAGCGGGGGCTCCGGCCCCTGCGAGGGATCCATCCGCCCGCCCGCAACCTCCCCTTTCGCACTTACCCCTCGCGTGACATAGCCAGGACG